CAGCGTTGCCAACTTTTATATATTTTCTTTAATCAAAATATTTTAGGAAACAAAAATAAATTAACCTTCACAGTAAAAGAGGTTCTGAAAAGAATAATATTCTAATGCAAGATCTCCCAAGTAGCATTGGAAGGAGAAAAAAACATTGACCACGGAAAATTGACCACTATTTGGTTGAATTTTACTTATACTTAACTTAATAAATTGCTTGTAGGGAATAAAGTGCGAGAAATCTAAAAATGAGGTCGTAAACTAGTTAATAATAACCTAAAATTATGCCTTTGAAACATAGCAACGTCGGAGTTAGCTGGCATTGTTAAAATCTAGTTACTGATAACCTATTGAGGGCATTAAGACTACAGGGACTTAAAGTAGGTCAAATGTTACTTTATTATAACCTCAAATTTGTCTCGGCGGTCGAAGGCATTGTTTGGTTTTCAAGTTAGGTTAAAATTTAGTTGTTAATAACTCTTTAAATTAGAATCTTGGCTTGGAGGAGTTCAAATTAGGTTGAAAATTTAATTTATTTCGACCTCATAAGTCGCTATTATGCTTCAAAGGTAAAAGTAACTTAGGTTTTTGACTTGGAAGAAAGTCAGACATACGGTAGGTTAAAAATTACCTTTTTTAATTTCCTCGGGGTGATTTCCGTTTAAAAAAGTTTTCGAGGGATTATTACGTCATCGCACATTACCTTGTTCCCACTGGATGGGAACGAAATAATATTCAATGCGTTTCTTTTTTATTACCATCACAATCGTAAACGTGTCCATTATGTGCAATAAAAACAAAAAGTCCTCTGTAATAACACTCACAATCCCAAAACACAAAACTTTTAAAAATAATAAGCAAAGAAAACTAATTTAGTTTTCTAGTTATAGTCTGTGAAACGAATAACTTTGAATTTGACAGTTCCCGCGGGCTTTTCTAGTGTTAATTTTATTAGGTTAGCAACTTGCGGCCATGCTGACGCAATGCCGTCTCTAATAGAACAGCCTCGGAGTGAGATTTATGACGCCACGCTAGTTAGATACTACGGATTAATAAATATGTTGTAGAATACATGGAAACATATTCCTCGTATTTTTGGTATGTATTTTAAAAATGATATAGTTTACATGAAATATACATAATATACAGTTAATAAATACAATATATATATATACCTATTTATAGTAGTAAATACTTTGGCAAATAAACTATGAACCATACAAATGCAGCAAATGTTTTACAATATACAAATAATCTACATTGACTATGGAGTACGATTTCAGCCATAGTCAATGTAGATAGTTTTACTGTTTTTCAGTCAATGTAGATAGTTTTTTTAAAATATGTGGTCATCTTTTGACAAGTTTATATTAGTTTATTAATTGCAGGAAACATTATGTGGTGTGTGGAATATAATCTAAAAAATTACATATAAAATTGACATTTTTTGAATTATATTCGACACTATCTTTTTTATATGACACAACGATGTGTCCTGATGAAGACTATAATGTTAGCCGAAACGCGTTTGTTTTTTAACCAAATAAAAATAATGAAAAACCAAATGAAAACTTAATCAGCATTTTTCCCAAACATAAATTCCAAGAAATCAAAAATTTTAGAATAATTTTACATATAAAATGACAGCGATCTTTATTTCATAGCCATCGCTGACGCCTTTTTTCTATGATATTGTATTATTTGCAAATATAATATTTCGAACATTGATACTTGCAAAATATACATATAAATTTTGTGAATGCAAATAATAATACATCACTATTAGTAGATATTGAATGTTTTTTGTTAAATTAGATCGATTTTCAAACCCCAAAATTTAAAATATATTTTACATTTTACCCATTATCTTATGTACCTATTCATTATTTGTATATTGTAAAACATTTGCTGCATTTGTATGGTTCATAGTTTATTTGCCAAAGTATTTATTACTATAAATAGGTAACAATATCTAGTACAATAACAATGAACAATATCTAGTACTATAAACAATATCTAACTAGCATGACGTCATAAATCTCGCTCCGAGGCTGTTCTATTAGAGACGGCATCGGTCTGATATTTAGAAATGTCAAAAGCTGATGAGATGTTACTTTTGACAAGTCTGACATTTCGTGTGGATTTTTGCAAGAAGAGGAAGAACTGTCACTTGTTTTTATTATTTTGCTTTTCTATTTCACGAAAGTAAAAAGAGTTACCTATCTGATTCGTTCAGGCACCCAATTTAAAAAATATCAGTAACTTTTTTGACAGAGGGATTTTATATTTGCCATGTTGGTAAAAAATAACGGCCAAAATTCAAAGTTATTCATTTTATAGACTATAGTTAGTGTTCTAGTTTAGGCCAGTTCGGTAATTGCATCGGCCAGCAAAAGGATAAAAATTTGACATGTCACGTGATTCTCAATAAAGATTCTCATTTTAGGACACATGATTACTGTGAAAAGTTAATCGGATTGCTGGAAGATGTAATTACCGAACTTAGCATAACATATCATTGTCAACTGTCACTGTCAATCAAAGAAAATAAAAGTTTTCTGTTTTACCGGCGATGATTATGATTCGACCTAATATAGCCCATTTTTTAACAAAAAACCTCGAAGGAAAAATACCTTAAGCAAGAAATCTTGACCTTTGAGGTTATTAAATTAAAGAAATCTTAACCTCATACAAAGAAAGCGGGCTTTAAGGTTTTAAAATTATGGAAAACCTAACTTCATAGACGAGTAGTTAAAAACACAATTAGCGGACATTTTCTTATCCAATTTTTTCAAAAAATATTTTTTGTGATATTGTTCTAAACTATTGAGAAAAATAAACAGACGTTTATGAATAATACTACCTACCACAAGTTAAATTAACTAATTACAAACTTTAAAAGTGTACCAAGGAAGTTAGCTGAAAAAAAGTTAGGTTAGAACCTTGAAAATAGCGATTTATTCTAAAATTAATTGTTGAAAATACATAAAATTTTAATGGCGCATAATTTTTTTAGGGCCTATCCACATTTACATCTCACAGAAAAATTTTCTCCGCAGACATAATTATCTTGCGAACCCAGTGATCCACTTCTTACCAATAACTTATTTACATTTACTAGGAAGTGCATATATGTAGGTATTTCATCCATATTGGATAAATGTTCAAACGGCCATGCCAGTTATTTACTACACTTGTTTGTCTTCCTGGTTCATTATTGGGAATTTCATTTACATACACATATTAAAAAGAAAAATACTTTGCCTTATTCTTTCTTTCCCATGTTAAAATGTAGGTAGTATAAATTAGGACTATTTTTAGTAAAATTTACCTCTATTTTACCATGTTATGACCTCGTTATGAGGTCGGTTATTTTTGACTTCATAGCCCATATTTCATACAAGACATTATAACCTGTTAACCTGTTTTTAACTTCCAAATTACTTTAGTTTTATTCCCCACTTTGGGAATTTTAACGTCAATTCGTGGAAATTTCGACCAATTTCCAGTTGGTCAATAATAGTCCAGGCGGTTAATTTAACGCAATTTTAACTTTAAATGTTTGCTGGGCTGCTAGTAAATATTTTCAAGCTTAAAGTATCAACATTTTTTATTTAAACCAAAAACTCGTAATACAAAACTAAAGTGTCAAAACGAATGACAATGTCAGGAAATAAATAAATACATGCGGTCATATAAGGTCGTAAGTTCTATGAATTTTGTGGGATGGAGTGTAGGGTAGACAAGTTGGGAAACTTCTTTACGCTCGTTGAGTGTAAAAATTTAAGGCTGTGACACACGGCGAGATAAACAATTGTGATTGATTAAAATTTTATTTCCCCATTCAATGTAGGAATCAAACATGTCGAGAATGTAACTGCTCAAACATGGAGACGTTCCATACTGGATGAGCTTCGACAAGTATGGTCAACATGGAAGCAAGCAAAAACAACTGCGAAAAATAGAACCCGATGGAGAGCTTTCACTGAAGCTCTTTGCTCCGCGTAGAAGATATAGGATCCTATATATACAGGGTGTTTCAAAACAAATGCGAAAAACTTCAGGGGGTGATTCCTTGTTCAAAATAAAGGGTAGTTTGCTTCATAAACGTTGGGTCAAAAGTCAACCATTAGGGAGATATCGCCAACCTCTTCAATGTGTTGAGCTACTATGTTAATTTTGGAATAAACAGTGAGCTACCCACACGGAAGCCACGTAACGCAACGTAAATGAAATAATCCAGAGTTAATTTATCATTATATGTATTTATTTTACTATTTAACTGGTAATACATAATACATGTCATAGGTACTAATAATAAACTAATAACAAAACAACTAATATTACTAGTACGTACTTGTTCATAGCTACATTCCTACCTACCAAACGAAGGTGTTTGAAAAATAAACACAAACTTTTATCCAGCCACAACGGCATGTCACGTGAATTTAAAAATTGTTATTAATATCAACAAAAAAGTAACGCACTATCATAAACATAAACATTGAGAAATAAAAAAGCACGTTCAATGGGAAGGCTGACACTCAGACTCATCGATAATTTTAATGTTGCGATGTAATTTGATACAGCCATTCGAATACAATTATCCAAATGTTCATCTGTAAGTCGATTGCGATATTTGTTCTTAATAAACTTCATATTGGAAAAAGAAGATTCACACAAATAGGTTGAACTGAATAATGCTTTCACTTTCAAGGCAACACGGCATAGAACTGAATATTTGTCTTTGCTTACAATAGACCAGATACATTTGGTACTTGAGACTAACGATTTTAGGCTAAATCATTTGAAACTCAATTACTTCCATTTCTGTTGCAGCGATGTCTTCGCCAAAGTTCTGCATAACACAAGTTGCAAACTGTTGGATATCAATTTCCATAAAGGGTGAACCAACAAACTGCGCTACTAAAGCCATTTCGTCGAAGTCCTTAAAACGATTTTTGAAGTTATTCTTCAAGGTAGAAACTATTTCTACATGATATTTGCTGTCATAGGGTTCTAATGGATTTTTGAGATATCTTTTCTGAAAGAATAGGAAAATGCTTGGCATCGCTGTTAATTAGGTTTTGTTCCCAAAACTCCAGTTTTCTGATAAACATATCAGAAATCATTTCCGCTAGTTCTTTGTCTCTCCCCTGAAGCTGCAAATTAAGTTCGTTTAATTTCTCTGTAATGTCCACGAGAAAACCAAAATCCCGAAGCCAGATTGAATTTTCTAGTTCCGGAATCGGTTCATCGCGTTGTTTGAAAAATTGAACTATGCCAGATAGGACATCATTAAAACGTTTCAGCACTCGTCCTCTACTTAGCCATCGGACTCCAGAGTGAAGGAGTAGGTCCCCGTATTGACAGTCGACTTCATCGGCCAAAGTTTTGAATAATCTTCTTTGTAATGCTTGAGCTCTAATCTTGTTCACAATTTTTACCACCAGTTTCATAACGTTGTTTAGTTTCAGAAAATTTCCACATAATGCTTGCTGATGGATAATGCAGTGGTAAGAGAGAAATTGCGGAAAAGTTTCATCTTTACGACATAACGCCACCAGACCCTTATCACAACCCACCATAGCTGGAGCGCCATCGGTTGTCAAGCCTACCATTTTCGATATTGGAATTTTCTCGGAAGAGAAATAATATTTTTTAAATGAGAAAACAACTCCTGTCCAGTAGTGTATCCTTTCAGTGGAATAAACTTCAAAAGATCTTTAATCGTAAAATCACTAAAAACCATCCTGACGAACACGGCCATCTGGGCAGTCTCAACCACATCTGTTGATTCATCCAGTTGAAGTGAAAAATAAACACAGTTATCTAAGTCAGTTCTTAACTGTAAAAAAAATATCATTGCTCATTACTTCTACACGTCTCATCACTGTATTAGCAGAAAGTTGCATAGATTTTATAGCTGAAAGTATCTCGTCTTTATTTCTAAAGTTGGCAAATAACGAATCAGCAGCTTCTAAAAACGCCTGTTTTATCATTTCCCCGTCTTCATAAGGTTTCTTTTTTTGTGCAATTATCTGGGACACACGGTACGATGCTTCAGTTGCAGCCTTATTTTTGTCGACTGTTCTTAAAAATATTGTTGTCAACGATTTTTACTTTGTTTCAGTTTCTCCTTTCTGGCGACAGAATGTAGTGGGAATGATTTTCAAAAAATTAGAATGTACAGTTGTATGATGTCTCTCAATATTTCCTTTTTTAGCAACGGAGACCGAAGTATTACATAACAAACACACATTTTTACCTTTAACTTCTGTAAAAAAGTACTGTTCTTCCCATTCCGAATGAAAGTGGTATGTCTTTACCTTCTTACTACTGCTTGCCATAATATTCTTTTTGTTGTTCTCTACTAACCCAACCGCTGGACGTTGGTTATGCGTTCAGGTTCAGTTTTAAACTAAGCGCAATGTCGCCGCACCGTGCGTATTTATACCGTTCAAAGCAATCCAGACCGTTCTCTCTCGAACACTAACGCGCTGGTCCGGCCGGTCGGTTCTAGCCGCTTCTAGCTTGATGGCGTCAGCGGCATCGCTCACCGCAACGTTGCCGCTGTTTATGTTTAATATTATGACAATTACATTTTTTGTGGAATTTTCGGAAGCTTCTCTGATTCTTGCAGTTTGTGTTTTTAAAATTGTGAGAGCTACCAGAATTGCATCCGCGAGCTACCGGTAGCTCGCGATCGACAGGTTGGCGACCGCTGATCTAGATAATAACCTATTGCAGTAAAGTAATGTCAAATAAAATAATATTAGAAACATCCTAAAAAGTAACAGCGGCCGACTAGATTTATTCCTAAAAAAATTACAGCAGCCCACTAGATTCTTTATCAGAAAATGGTTTTTGTCCTGACATGTAATACTTTACATTTTACTAATTTCAAATCCGGTGAGTTTATCAAAAAACACAACAGATAAAGTTTCTAAGCAAACTAAACTATCCAAATTAATTTTTTTTTCGCATGTGTTTGATAAGATTTTTCTTTAAAATTTCGTTAACAAGAATGATAGGGGTAGTTATTTCAACCCTTCCACTCATTTAAAAAAGTGAAAAATTACCAGAAAGTGTGTTTTCATAACAGTAATGCTTCCATAAAATTTCATTAGTCTATCTCTTTTCGTTTCAAGATAAAAATAAAAACATTATTTTTCCGCCATCTTTGTACCGCGATATCTCCCTAATGGTTGACTTTTGACCCAACGTTTATAAAGCAAACTCCCCTTTATTTTGAACAAGGAATCACCCCCTGAAGTTTTTCGCATTTGTTTTGAAACACCCTGTATATATAACATTTTATTTTAAGATGAAACTTTTGTTAACAACGTTCTGAATGAATTGAGTAATGACAAGACAAGTGACATCTGTCTAAAAAAGACAGCGATTTAAAGTGACAATTTGGTTATGTAAAATTTAGAGTGACAATTTTGATTATGCAAAAGAAATACATATTCTATGAATTTACTGGTTGCGAATGTTATATGTATTCAAATTAATCCCCAACGTGAATAATGAACAAAACATTTAAACAAAAACAGACCACAGACCACTCAAAACAAATTGTTGATAAGTAGCAGTTAGTAGAAGTCAGAGATATAGATGTAGTAGTATTTTGGTTTAATGGCTACAGCTATCCGGCCAGGTAATAGAATTATCGTTTTTTAATAAAAATTAAAAAAAAACATAAAATTATAAAGCTAGAATAGTATACGGTTTTATATTAACTCTATTTTTTTAAGGTTATAAGAAGCATTCATAAAAAAATATGAATCCTTCAAATCCTTTAATTTAATAGCTCTTAGTAAGACGTTTGTTTCAAATATACTTTTGCCAGTGCACCCACATTTTGCAGAATAATAACATGATTTCCTGACTTCAATTCGGACCACCCTGTATATTAGATTGCTTTTTAGGTGTTATTGGATTATCATCATTAGGTTTATTGGTTCCATCATGTCTCAAACGTATCGGTCCTTGAAAAAGCTAACTGCCAGAGTATTGAAGTAATGATTACAAAGTCCCGCTTAAGATGGGCTGGTCACGTATGCAGAATGCAAGAAAACCGCATACCAGAATCTCTGCTTTACGGTGAGCTTGTAGACGGTAAGAGGAGGCCGGGTGGACAACTCAAAAGGTACAAGGATATTTTCCACGAAAACTCAAAGGGAATTAACAAGCAGAATGAGTGGGGAAGGCAGAAGCTCACAATAGAACGGAATGGAGAAGAATTATAAAGTCAGTTAACAGCGACAGCCAAAAGTAACAACAAAGCAATGAGATTTTGAATGTCTGAATGCGATGAACAGATGACATCACGTATAGCAATACGTAAGCTT